TCTAGTTCTGAAACTAGCTCTTTTTTTTCCCAATTGTGCACACAAAATGAATTAATTTAGACATTTGAAAGGATCTCATTTTGGCTACTGCTGCTTTTGACCATCCTGGGTTAGGTGAGTTCTGTTTCCTAGATATTTACAAGAGGACACCCCATAAATGTTATACATAAGTCCAGCTAGTGTTTTACTTGCTCACTCGTGGAGCTCAGCTCTTGAGACAGAAGTCTTGCCGGTGCCCCTGGCCGAATAAACCCCTTCCTTCTTTAACTGGGTGTCTGAGGAGTTTTGTCTGCCGCTCGTCCTGATACAGAAATGTGGAAGCAGCTTTGGAACTGGGTAACAGGTGGAGGTTGGAACAGTTTGGAGGGCTCAGAAGAATACAGGAAGATGAGGGAAAGTTTGGAACTTCCTAGAGACTTGTTAAATTGTGGCCAAAACACTGATGGGGATATAGACAACGAAGTCCAGGCTGAGGAGGTCTCAGATAGAAATGAGGAACTTACTGGGAACTGGAGTAAAGATCACTTTTGTTATGCTTTAGCAAAGAGGTTGGATAGTGCCCTTTCCCTAGGGATTTGTGGAACTGTTAAATTGAGAGAGATGATTTAGGGTATCTGGTGGAAGAAATTTCTAAGCAGCAAAGTGTTCAAGATGTGACCTGGCTGCTTCTAACAGCCTATGCTCATATGTGTGAGCAAAGAAATGATCTGAAACTGGAATTTATATTTAAAAGGGAAGCAGAGGCTGGGCGTGGTGGCTCATTCCTGTAATCCCAGCACTTTGGGAGGCCAGGGCGGTCTGATCACCAGGACTTCGAGACCAGCCTGGCCAACATGGCGAAACCCTGTCTCTAATAAAAAGACAAAAATTACCTGGGCGTGGTGATGTACACCTGTACTTTCAGCTACTTGGGAGGCTGAGGTGGGAGGATCGCTTGAACCTGAGAGGCAGAGGTTGCAGTGAGCCAAGATTGTGCCACTGCACTTCAGCCTGGGCAATGGAGTGAGACTCCGTTTCAAAAAAAAAAATGTAGAGGGTAAATTTATGTTATCTGTTTTTTATCATGTGATGAATACATATTTGGTCTCTGTTTCTTTTTCCTAGGATACAGCTCCTAAAGCCCTTAGAATCCTTGAAGTAGTAAGAGTGTCTTTTGCAGGCCAATGGGATGACTGGTGGTTGGGGGCCCCTTGACGGTTTCAGGATGGGGGCTGGTCATCAGAAAGACCAAGGCAGGATTAAGATTGTAACTTTCAGCCTCCTTCCCCCTATCTCCAGGGGGACAGAGGAGCTGGAGACTGAGTTCAATCACCAATGGCCAATGATTTGACCAACCATTCCCTGGTAATGAAACCTCTATAAAAACCCCTATATGGCAAAGTTTGGAGAGCTTCTGGGTTGGTGTGCACATCATGTGGTGGGAAGGTGGTGTACCACAAACTCCACAGGGACAGAAGCCCCTGTGCTTTGGACCCTTTGCCCAATGTACTTTTCCATCTGGCTTTTCCTTTGTATTTTTAATAATAAACCAGTGATAGTATTTTCCAGGGTTCTGTAAACCATCCTAGTAGACTGTTAACCTGAGGAGGTTGTGGAAATCCCCAACCATGTAGCCAATGCAGACAGAAGTGTGGGTAACTTGGAGACTTGCTACTTGAGACTGGCCTCTGAAGTGAGAACAGTCTTCTGAGACTGATCCCTTCTTTAACCTTTAACCCTTGGAGTTCTGGGTAGTTAGTGCTGGAATTGAATTGAATTGTAGGACACCCAGTTGGTGTCAGAGAATTGGTTGATGTGGGTGAAGCAGCACTGTTGTCTCGGGTAAATACCCGAGATTCATTGTCTCACGGCCATGGAAAACTAGGACGTGGACAGACCCCACAGTGAGGTTAAAAACAGAAGTTTACTAGGTGAAAGTGTGGCAGGATGAGCCACGGACAAAACCCCTCAGACACCGAGATAGTGAAGGGGTGGCTTTAATCAGCTGGGAGCATCAGCAGGCTAACATCTTATATCCGAGCTCTTCAGGTGCTCAACTTCTGTCCCTTTTAAGGGCTCACAACTCTAAGGGGGTCCGCGTGAGAGGGTCGTGATCGATTGAGCAAGCCAGGGGGTACATGACAGGGGCTGCAAGCACCGGTGGTCAGAGTGAAACAGAACAGAACGGGAGGTTTCACAATGTCTTTCTATACAATGTCTGGAATCTATAGATAACATCAGTTGCTAGGTCAGGGGTTGAATTTTAACTACCAGGCTTAGGTCAGGCAGGCCCAGGCCTGGTTTCGGGTCTGGTTCCTAGGCGCTGGGCTACCTGCCATTAGTTTTGCTTCTTTTTCCTTTTCTGAGTATAAAACAATATAAAACAATATGAGAGGGTCTCTCTCTTCCCTCAAAAGAAAGAGAAAAGCTCTCTGCTACAGAGAGGGGTCCTGGAGAACATAGGTTGCTGCTTCCACAGTGAAATGTATTTTTATAGATGAGCTTCAGGGGGCAGTGTCTGTCTGATTTACGTAGGGCATGAAAGATTAGTTGAACCAGGTGTACCAGTTGCATAGCACTTGAAGAAGCTGGCCACCCCAGCCTAATCTTTTATTATGCAGATGGGTTCTCTGCCTGGCTGGTACCATGTTGCCTAGTTTTTCACTGTACATGTGGTGACAAAGAAAAGGGAAGATGGAGCCTCCATGTTGAACATATCTGGCTTTAAGGTAGCCCCTTTCCATTGGCACAGCTGCCAGCATTCACCTGTGCAAGCTTCCAGCTTGCTTATCCATGTCTGCAGTTCAATTTTTCAGGCTGCTCTTTGTTAGAGAAGAAATGATTTGGGGGCTGCTTTTTGTTAAAAGAGACATTCAGGCCGGGTGCGGTGGCTCAGGCCTGTAATCCCAGCACTTTGGGAGGCCGAGACGGGCGGATCACAAGGTCAGGAGATCGAGACCATCCTGGCGAACCCGGTGAAACCCCGTCTCTACTAAAAAAAATACAAAAAACTAGCCGGGTGAGGTGGCAGGCACCTGTAGTCCCAGCTACTCAGGAGGCTGAGGCAGGAGAATGGCGTGAACCCAGGAGGCGGAGCTTGCAGTGAGCTGAGATCCGGCCACTGCACTCCAGCCTGGGTGACAGAGCGAGACCCCGTCTCAAAAAAAAAAAAAAAAAAAAAAAAGAGACATTCAGCTGAGGACTCTGTTGCCCTTACTATCAGTCTAAATAATTTCTTTTTATCTCTTGTATCATGGGGGAAAAAATGTGTACATATTTAGTGTCAGAAGTGTTGTGAGTGAAAACAGTTCAGATACAGAAAAAATAAAATTTAAATTTAAAATGGACATCAGGGACTCAAAAAGCAATTCAGAAGTCCCTGATTGTCTCATGAATTGTTTCACTGTCATGCGCGTCCATGTGAAGAGATCACCGAACAGGCTTTGTGTGAGCAACATGGCTGTTTATTTCACCTGGGTGCAGGCAGGCTGAGTCCGAAAAGAGAGTCAGCGAAGGGGAGATAAGGGTGGGGCTGTTTTATAGGATTTGGGTAGGTAAACGAAAATTACACTCAAAGGGGGGTTGTTCTCTGGCGGGCAGGAATGGGGGTCACAAGGTGCTCAGTGGGAGAGCTTTTTGAGCCAGGATGAGCCAGGAAAAGGAATTTCACAAGATAATGTCATCGCTTAAGGAAAAGACCGGCTATTTTCACTTCTTTTGTGGTGGAATGTCATAGGTTAAGGCGGGGCAGGGCATTTGCACATCTTTTGTAATTCTTCAGTTACTTCAGGCCATCTGGGCATATATGTGCAAGTCACAGGGGATGCAATGGCTTGGCTTGGGCTCAGAGGCCTGACATTCATTATGGTGTTTTTGTTTGAATCAGGATCCAAAAAAGTTTGATATGTCCAAAAAAAGTAATTCATAGGAGGAGTTAGACTGGATATGAAGAATTTTAGTTATATTGTATCCAGTTTTTCACTTATATTTTTCTTATAAATGTGCAAGAGTGATATAGGATTAAGAATGTATACTGAGAAGAGTCTAAAAGCATTCTTATACTAATTTATATTCATAAAATATAAATCAATGATTTATATTTAGGGAATATAAATTCTAAAGGGTAAGAAAACATGTCATTTCATTGGGAACATTTTATTTGTGATTGATATATGAAATAAAAGCAATATGAAATAAAAGCATATGATATATGAAATAAAAGCAATTATAGAATCTTAGGGTAGTTGAGGGGGTGCTGCATTGCTATAAAGAAATATTGATCAGCCTCACCAACATGGTGAAACCCTATCTCTACTAAAAATACCAAAATTAGCTGGGCGTGGTGGCATGTGCCTGTAATCCCAGCTACTCAGGAGGCTTAGGCAGGAGAATGGCTTGAACCAGGGAGGCGGAGGTTGCAGTGAGCCGATCGCACCACTGCACTCCAGCCTAGGTGACAGAGTGAGACTCTGTCTCAAAAAAAAAAAAAAAAAGAAATGAAATATTGTACTATCTTCAGTCTAGTCCTTTTCCCAAGAGAGAAAGAAAAGCACATTTTAAGTAAAAAAAAAAAAAAAAACAAAAAAAACAACCTGCAATACAAAACAAAACAAAACAAAACAAAAAGATGAAGGTGTGTGTGTGCTTTGGGTTTTCCCTACAGGCATTCATGATGAAGCCTAACCATGGTGGGATACTCAGATTATAGAAACAGTGGATAATAAGAGTGGTTCAACTGTGGTAAATCTTTTTTTTTAACACAAAGATTTTTAAAATTTTTCTAATACAGTGAAATTATCTACCCCAAAAGTGGAGGTGTTTTATCTCTTCCTATCTGACCCTTATTCCTGTCACTTTTTCTTGTCTGCTTGTGTTATCATCCCTTTCTTATTCTCTGTTTTGATGGCAATGGCTAAAAGGTTTACCATTATATTGATGTTCACTATCAGGTTTTTGGTATATGGCCCTCATTGGGTATATAGGCTGGGATGCTTTCATATCTTTCTCTGTCATTTCTTTAGCAATGGGAACATTAAAACAATGGCTACCCAAAGAAGAAGATGAAGGGAAGGTAGAAATGGTCTCTGGCATTGAAGTAGATGAGGAACAACTAGAAGCAAGATCTGATGATGACGATACGTAAGTAGATCATTTGCCGATACCTAAGTCAAGCACTGGTACAAAGTGAAAATGCTGCTGCTGAGACATTCAAAATAGCCAACTGAGACCTAGCTACAAAGATCAAGTTTTACAATGCACGGGTTTGGTTCTGGGCTCCCCATTCTTCTGCAACGGCATCATTTTCTACATTGGCATCAGTGATATTCTGTCTTAACTTCCATGGCTTCCATCGTAGCTCCTGATACCTGGTGGGGCTAGTCCTTGTGCTAGTCTTCACAGCTTTTTCTTCAAAATTATCTTAACTATTGTTGCCCGTTCCTCATCATACACTGTATATCAAGGTTGTCTAAGCCACAGCCCAGGACAGCTTTGAATGTGGCCCAACACAAGTTTGTAAACTTTCTTAAAACATTATGAGATTTTTTTGCAATTTTTTCTTTTTAGCTTATCAGCTATCATTAGTGTTAGTGTATTTTATGTGTGGCCCAAGACAGTTCTTCCAATGTGCCAGAGAAGCCAAAAGATTAGACACCCCTGCTGTACAGTTTTGCATTCTCTTACAAAGTATGAGAAACTTTGTTGGGATTTTGGTGGGAATGACATTTTATTTATTGATTAAATTATGGGAATTGGCATATCTGGGATTTTGAATCTTTTAAAATTATTATTATTATTATTTGAGACA